TTTTGACGTTAAAGCTTTTGTAGATACTCTGTATGGGACGCTCTGGAGAATAAGTGTTTTTTTTACAATTAGACTATTATTAACTAGAATTCAAACGTGAAAGTGATCCTTTATCCTTAGAGTACTTTGTCCGGCATACAATATATTAGTGTTTATTATAGAGTTCAGACAAAGGTTTAAATGGTACCATTAAGCATCGGACATTCCCCTATAAAGAGAATAAAAAATCCTTTTCTATTTCCTATGATAAATGATTTATTGGTACACCTATACTGTCCTTTAACCATTAGAAGTAAGCAATGTCGTCTTCTATGCCTCTTGGAAAATCTGCTTTGCCTGGAAACTGTGGTTTTCCTATAAAAGTCAACGCAGTCAACTCAGAACTTTTTAACCAAAGAACATTTCCGTGGTTTTACTGTGTTCCACAGCGTTTGAGGCAAATCGGTTAAGCCGTTCATAAGTTATGTTCGGACATACTGGGTGTCCCAAGAAACATGACATTTGTTGATTAGTTTAGAATAATGTCAATTCCATAATTTGTTAAGTTGTTTAATACCAAAGATTAATAAAATATTATATGGTAGTCATGTTATATTAAACTTGATTTCAAAGTAAAAGATAATGAAGCAAAAGATTTTTTTGACTAAAAATAACGATTTATTAAATGTCATGTTTCGTGGGACACCCTGTAAACAGCCACAAACAGCTATCAAAGATTACTGCTTTATACCATTAACTAGCTTGGGAACCCAGCTTTGCCTAGACACTAAGGGTTTCCTTAAAAAGTCAACTTTGAACGTTCGCGTGGATGAACTGAGTTCCCAATCAAAATGTTAGGGAAATCAGTCAAGGGGTTCCTGAGTTAAGATCGGACCCACTAGCAAACGAACAGACAAATAAAGCTTACTACTTCATGTATATTTAAACATATATATATAAAAGATAAGAGAAATAACATGAATATTCAGAGAAAGGCATAAATGTTAAGTACATATTGTGGTCAAGGTTCATTTGGTTAGGTTCTTCATTCTCTACCCACACATGAGGTAATCAGATTTAGGTAATCAGATTCAGGTAATCAGATTCAGGTAATCAGATTCAACCCCCTGAGGAGTGTACGCATGTGGGGGGCTCATTTAATATTACATCTGCTTGCATTTCCCTTCCTCAGGCAATCTGCATTCTACTTTGAATTGCATTGCACATAATTACATCATGTAATAAAAATACTTTAAAATCTCACTTTTGCCATTAACAAAAAAGTTTCATTATAAAGCTTCAGCGTTAATATATATTTGATATCATAATTTATAATACAATATGTTTCAAGCCCATGAAAATATAGATATTTTTAAGAAATGCTTCCATCTCTATTTTTCATCCATTGAAGCTTACCCCACGGTATTAAGAGTGTCTGATGAGTGATGAGTCCATCTTAATAAAATTACATAAATACTTGTTAACACTTAATAATATGGAAATGTGTATATGATTGGTATAGTTTACCTGAATAAAGTTAAAAAAGTATCAATATTTTTTCAGAAAAGGGGTTTTAAGGGGGGGGGAGGCACAATGTTACCAAGGGGAGGGAACCAAAAAGTGCCCCCCCCACACAAATGCTCTCGTATGCCATTGACTTTTGTGCTATGATTTTATGTTCCTCCTGGCTCGATGCCATGTGCCCCATACAGTAGTATCAACCTTCTTGTTGTAATGTATTATGTACGTACAATTGATTTTGCAAATTATTATTATTTAAGTTTATTTCGCACACAAAAAATGGTACAATAAATACAAAGACATAAATTAAACGAGGAGCATATGTAATTATAGAATATCACTTGTTAGTCAGTTCAAATAGTACAAATTATATTAAATTCATAATTATAGTTAAAATCGTTAAAAGAGAAATTGGTTGATCTTAGATCTAGCAGTTCATAAATGAGAGGTGTTTAGATCTAGCAGTTCAAAAATGAGAGGTGTTTAGATCTAGCAGTTCATAAATGAGAGGTGTTTAGATCTAGCAGTTCATAAATGAGAGGTGTTTAGATCTAGTAGTTCATAAATGAGAGGTGTTTAGATCTAGCAGTTCATAAATGAGAGGTGTTTAGATCTAGCAGTTCATAAATGAGAGGTGTTTTCCAATTTTGATCATCAAGTAACGTTAAATTTTGTTTAACAAAATTTTTAGACAAATTGTCCACTAACACATTACAATCATCTGCAATTGAATTTAGATTTTTAAATAAAACTGTTCGTTGATAATTTTTAAACAAATTATAAAGTAAACGAATACTTGACTTATTTGTACTGCTCATTCTTTCAGAAAAGGCAACAAATCTAATAAAGTTTAGGACACATCTACAGAAATATAACGGCGACAAGTTACGAAATCTTTATGCGACAAACAAAATAAAAAGCAAAAAAGACGATATTAAATCCATTTATTCTCTTTACCACTGTATCTTTTAATAAATGTTCAGAAATATCATATTAATCATTACTTTAAAGAAGATCTATAAATATAATAACAGTGATAACCAGATAACTCTGGAATAGGAAGTCGACTTTTAAACTAAAGTTATGGCTTTAAATATTCCAATGAACATAAGGCACAACATTTGTCAGTGTAAATAGACCCATTTCACTTAATAAGTGATTTAATAGATTTTAGTATATCTATTTGCTTTGTAACACCATCAAATGCACTTCAGTGTTGCTTTAATGTCGTCTTCATATTTTACAGTTTTCTGGTTATCACTGTAAAATTACAAAAATTGTGCAAAAATTAATTAATTCACTTTTGAATCTTCCTGACATGTAAACAATCTCAAGAACTGACGAGGGTCAACCCTGACAAAATTTCAATAAAATGTGTATTATCTACTTCATTAATTCTATCAGATTTGGTCCATCATTAACACCGAATTTTAAAATAACCAAGGTTAACACAGACAAAAAGGGAAGAAAGGTTGTCTTCAATAAGTTTAAATAATTTTGTTTTTTGATACAACATTTTGAAATGTAAAATATCATTAAAATCAAGGTAAATGACTAGTTTAATTATCACAAAATAATGAATTTTCTATGCAGGGGGCAAGTGTCCCCCCCTCCCTGTGGTCGACATTTTTTATCTCACCCCGGCAAATGGAGGCTAAAATGTTTCACCAAATTTAGGATGTTTATATATTTGTTAAAAAAATCTCCGTTTTAAGTGATTTTAGAATCTATCTAGATTCCATGCTTGAAAATGAAAATTAACATACTAACTGATCTCTTATCTTGCGCCCCTAACTTTTTAAGGAATGAACGTTCCCCAATTTTCCAGGAAGGGGAATGTCCCCTCACCCCTCTCCCCATTTAAGCCGCCCCTGAAGATAAAGGATTATAGTAATCATTTGAGTATGTACAGTGAGACGCATAAAACTCTAAGACTCTGGAACAGAAAGACGACTTTATCAACAATTTATTTAAAATAGAGCTGCATACAGCTAGATAAGAATACATGTTTTGTTCATGGATTAAACAAATATAGATATTTAGTTTACAAATTTATTTCAATTAATGTCTCGAAAATAAGTGATGTCTATTCTCACACTTTTTAGTGGGAATTTATTCACGTAAAACTAACTATGTACATAACGTGCAATGTCCTGACAAAGCCGGAAAAAATTTGTGAAAATATATTTACTTATAATCCAAGATCCAGCAAATGTAAAAAAAAGTTTTGCAATGGTCGAGTAAACTTACAAAATATTTGCTGGATCAAAAATAAAAATAAAAATATGAAAAAGTCTACATATCTATTTTTTTAATTCAGGTCTCTTGAAGATTACCCGCAAACACAGGTTAGTTTTATGATTCCCCGGCAACACAGGTTACCCCCGGGGAAAGCCTTTACGAGAGAGGTAAATGTTTTACCAGAGTATGTCAGTGTTTGATAAATTTAGTATTTAGTATTTAGTATCTATCTAATTCAGTATTTAATATTTATCATTTAGTATTTAGTATCTGTCTAGTTTCAGCACTTAGTATTTAGTATTTTTCATGAAGTATAGTATCACAGAGTAGATATGTATAGAATTTAGTTTATTTAGTTTATATCATTTAATATTTTGTATTTGTTATCTAGTTTTCAGTATAAAGTATTTAGTGTATATTTTGTTTTTATTATATATTATTTAATATTTGGTATTTGTTATCTAGTTTTCAATATAAAGTATTTAGTGTATATTTTGTCTTTATTATATACTATTTAATATTTTGTATTTGTTATCTAGTTTTACATTTTGATAGTACAGGGTTACTTGAAACTCTTCGAATATGGTACTATTCCAAGTTTAAATTAAGCCTTTTGCCTTGAATGTGTTCTTTAAATGGTTTATTTAATATTTTAGCAAAGAAATAAGTATGTTTATAGTTCCAGGGAATCATGAATATAAGGATACAGACAGTACAAATTCACTACAGTCGTCTTTGAAGTCTCATCCTTTCTGGGTATCCCTGTAACTACTTTCAATATATAATATTTAGTATATTTAATTCTTATTATTTAGTGTTTGGTACGTATATATATATATATATAATTTCGTATCTAATTTTTAATATCTACTATTTATGATTTAGTTTAATACAGTTTAGTATCTATATAATTATTAATCTTTAGTATTTATTAACAAGTATGTATTGGAGCATATAGTTTTCAGCATTAAGCATGCTTTTTTATATTTTTACCTGTTAAACTTTTGATATTTTTACATGTTAAACTTTTGTGTTGTTAATCCTCATCCTTTTAATCGTATATTGTGTTGTCGATAAATACGACAAGTTCTTTTTGGATATTTGGTGGAATAAGTAAAATTGAGAATCTTATTTTTAAAATTACCATTTTGGATATCAAGATCAAAGTTGTAAATTAGTGCTTACAAAAAGTTTTGATCTCTACTGAAACTCCTTCTCATTGTCCTGTTTATCAATCTTTTTATTAAATGTTAAGAATTAAAAATGTATTTCTGCTGCTACTCCTCCCTGGTGCCCAGGATGAAGATGATCCTATTGATCTCCGGGTGCCTGGAACTAGCTGAGATGCTTCGACTCTTCCTGGTAATATTTATACCTTGGAGCTAGATACAGATTTGAGGCAGCAGATATTAAAACATTATTGTTGGACACATAATTACTAAATAAATAATACAGATTGGATACAAGATTTGATTTCCAAACATTATTTTCATGTATTTTAACGACCCCCTTTTTGTTACAAATTGAAACTTCTGTAAAACCAAACTTTACTAGAATTTTTTAGTTATGCAGAATGTCCATTTAGTCAACTAATCAAATTTTGACATTTAAAAAAAAATTAAATTTGTACAGTATGTTTTGTTTTAACCGATGCGTTTTTTGAACTACTTGTGAAGTAATTGAACTAGTTGCATTAAGTTCAGCTATTTAGCATTTATAATTTTCTGTCTCTGATTAAGATTACAGATTGGTTGCTTCTCCCTAGCTGGTCAAAACTCATCGTTGTAGAGCTCGTCTTCCTTACTATCCTAGTCTTCACAGATATACTCATGTACCTTGGGGTAGTAAACAGGTACAACACTCATGTACCTAGGGATAGTAAACAGGTACAGTACTCATTTACCTAGGGATAGTAAACAGGTACAGTACTCATTTTTCTTGGGGTAGTAAACAAGTACAGCACTCATGTACCTAGGGATAGTAAACAGGTACAGCACTCATGTATCTTGGGGTAGTAAACAGGTACAGTACTCATTTATCTTGGGGTAGTAAACAAGTACAGCACTCATATATCTTGGGGTAGTAAACAGGTACAGTACTCATGTATCTTGGGGTAGTAAACAGGTACAACAATTATGTACCTAGGGATAGTGAACAGGTACAGCACTTATGTACCTAGGGATAGTAAACTGGTACATCACTCATGTACCTAGGGATAGTAAACAGATACAGTACTCATGTACCTAGGGATAGTAAACAGGTACAGTACTCATGTACCTAGAGATAGTAAACAGGTACAGTACTCATGTACCTAGGGATAGTAAACAGGTACAGCACTTATATACCTTGGGGTAGTAAACAGGTACCGTACTCTTTGAGTCATCACTCATCTCTAAATTAAATTTTCTATTACAGAAGATCTGAGCAATTTCTTCCCTGGTTGGTCACTCACTTCATCTCCTTCATTGTAACCCTGGTCTTCCTCATCATGCACTTCGTGCAGATCTTTATCATCATCTCCCCGGCAACACAGGTAAGTTTTATGATTCCCTGGCAATACAGGTTAATTTATGATTTTCCAGCAACACAAGGTAGTTTTATGATTACCCGCAAACACAGGTTAGTTTTATGATTCCCTGGCAACACAGGTTAGTTTTATGATTCCCCGTCAATACAGGTTAATTTAAGATTTTCCAGCAACACAAGGTAGTTTTATGATTACCCGCAAACACAGGTTAGTTTTATGATTCCCAGGCAACACAGGTTAGTTTTATGATTCCCCTGCAATAAAGGTTAGTTTTATGATTTCCCAGCAATACAAGGTAGTTTTATGATTACCCGCAAACATTGGGTTAGTTTTATGATTCCCTGGCAACACAGGTTAGTTTTATGATTACCCGCAAACACAGGTTAGTTTTATGATTCACAGCAAGACAGGTTAGTTTTATGATTCCCCTGCAACACAGGTTAGTTTTATGATTCCCTGGCAATACAGGTTAATTTATGATTTTCCAGCGACACAAGGTAGTTTTATGATTACCCGCAAACACAGGTTAGTTTTATGATTCCCCGGCAACACAGGTTAGTTTTATGATTACCCGCAAACACAGGTTAGTTTTATGATTCACAGCAACACAGGTTAGTTTTATGATTCCCCTGCAACACAGGTTAGTTTTAAGATTCCCCTGCAACACACGTTAGTTAAATGATTCCCCTGCAACACAGGGTAGTTTAATGATTCCCCTGCAACACACGTTAGTTAAATGATTCCCCGGCAACACAGGTTAATTTATGATTTTTCAGCAACACAAGGTAGTTTTATGACTACCCGAAAACACAGGTTAGTTTTATGATTCCCCAGCAACACAGGTTAGTTTCATGATTCCCCAGCATCACTGGGTAGTTTAATGATTCCCCAGCAACACAGGTTAGTTAAATGATTCCCCGGCAACACTGGGTAGTTTAATGATTCCCCAGCAACACAGGTTAGTTTTATCATTCCCCGGCAACACAGGTTAATTTTATGATTCCAGGCAACACAAGTTAGTTTTATGATGCCCCGGCAACACGGCTGTTAGTTTTATGATTTTCTGGCAACACAGGTTAGTTTCATGATTGCCTGGAAACAAATGGTTAGTTTTATGATTCCCAGGCAACACAGGTTAGTTTTATGATTCTGTGGCAACACAAGTTAGAATTATGATTCCCCTGCAACACAGGTTGATTAAAAATAAAACTGATTAAATTTTGTACTATATTTCAGAATGCATACTTGAGACTGCCGTCTGGAATGGGAATACGAAGCCCTGAGTTTCAGCAATCCTTCAGATATGAGTTGGGAATAACAATTGGAAAAGTATGTCTCGTTTCCAAATTTGGGATAACAAAGTAGATCACATATTTTGTATATCAAAGAGAAAACTTGTCAAGGTTTCCGGCTTCATTTTTACATACAGTGGTAGGCGATTATATCAATAAAAGGTTTCAAAGAGAAGCTTTTTCAATTGACAACTTCTCTTGACTTCTATTATTATGTGTATCCATGCTGTTTAACAGCATGATGATATAAATCACAATCAAAATAAATCCATACTGTGTGAAAATCTATTTATTTTTGTGATAAAAGGTTTAATCAGAGACAAAACTTAACTACCACCATGTAATTTACTATTTCTGAAAATGATTTTATAAAGGTTCTGGTTCTGGGTTTGGTTGTCCCTCTCTCAGGGTACTTCTGGATACTGGCATTCATGGGCTGGAGACAAGTTCTTAATGACAGGTACAATAAACCCGGGATAGGGTCTGGGGAGAAAATAAAAAAGTCCAATGCGGCATCCTTTATGTAAAGCATTGTTGTTTTATTGCTTTAAACTATACCTGGCTCTATATAATATTTAAAATATATAGTTTAGACAAAAGAAGTTTTCTTTTCAAATATGCTTTTGGAACTGTACTATTGGGCTGCGAAGTGCACAAAAACTTACATAATCAAACGCTGTAAATATTACACCGAAAAACTGTGCCATAAATGTATTAGATTTATTTTTTCATTCAATCATCACTTATTCATGGAATCCAAATTTGGAGAGGAAAAACATAAAAAACTTCTTTAAATGAAGTTTTAATGCTTCTATACAGTGATACCGAATGTGAGAGGAGAATGGAGGAACGGAAGAAAGACGAAACAAGAGCAAATATTTATAAGGTAGAAATCATTTCTGTTTTCCCCCAAGATTTACACAGATACTCCTTCCTACCCTCCTTCATAAAGTACAGACACTAAATTTTTGTTGTCATATCAATTATAAACATTGTAAACCTAAATTATAATATCTAGACCTCGATGGATAACCTTGAATACAACAGATTTTAAAGTATCAATGATTATTGACTATATTGATATAGCCTTATTCAACTTATATATATGCGTTCAAAAGTCTACATATCTATTTTTTTAATTCAGGTCTCTGGAAGTAAAGGATACTTAAACGATCCACGATACACAACTTCAAACCCTTCGGGTCTTGATGCTAGGTAATAATTGATTCGTTTATATCTAACAGAAATAGGATAACATAAAATATTTGGTTTAGATCTGCAAGATCTTTGTCTCGTCAGACGAGCCTACCCCGAGATATGGCAGAATTCCAGCGCACTCTGGGGCGCCAGGAACGGCAGCTAAGTCGACAGAACAGTGAAATTTCAGCTGTTGGAAACAATATGGCGTCGACCCGTAGTTTGCCTCGTAGAAATAATATAGAGATAGGTCAGATTTCTGAGCATGTGCAGAGAGTAATACCAGATAATAGAAGTACATCAAGAGCTATTAACAGGTAACATTTTTACCAGCAGCTTTAAAATCAACTTATTAAGTGAAATGCGTCTGTTTACACTGCACAATTGATGTGTTTCGTGCTCAGGATCTCTCTCTCTCTCTCTCTTTAAAATCAACTTATTAAGTGAAATGCGTCTGTTTACACTGCACAATTAATGTGTTTCGGGCTCTGGATCTCTCTCTCTCTCTCTCTCTTTAGAATTACAAGACAGAGAGAGAGCCTGTCCTTCGCCGACTGTGCGTAACTCCTTTGGGCTTTTGCCTCAGGGTTATTGTGAAAGAAAAATTCATGAATTTTGAAAAGACGACATCTAGTGTCATATCGGTTATTTCAATTAATCTATGACACTTACGCTATGCTGATCGGTAAATATGATGGAAAATAAACTCTGATTATTTAAAGTATTTAACTTTTTCTTTTGTAGACGTGATAGCCTAATCCTAGCTCTGAGAGACCAAGAAGCCATAGTGGAAGCTTCAAAGTTTAGGTATAAGCAGTAATTATAACCATGTGGACATAAACAGAAGTTGTCAAGGGGGAGATGTACTCCACTTCCTGTGGTCACTGAATTTCCTTATGCAAACCATTGCCACAACTCCCACAGGCCACAACCTTGTAGCCCCCGATCCCTGCCTGAATGCCCCCATTCATAGTGATATAATATAAATAAGAACTATAGTAATACTCCATTTATTTAGGGAACCATATGGAGGTTTAGGTGGCCTAGAACCTCTAGGAAAGTCCAAGTACCGCACCCCCATCAGCTCTTCTTTCCCTGCTGTTGAACCCTTTAAGTTTTGATTATTCAAAATTTAAAAATTTTGTTTGGAATTAAATTTTAGATTCATATGAATCAAAACTTGCATTTAAATGATTGTGGTTTGCGCTGCTTTTAATGAGTTAAGATAATCCAGAAAATTAATTTTGTCTAAAAAATATAAAAAGCAAAACAAAATTAACTTATTAAGCGGTCACAAATGTTAAAGTCTATTTTAACTTGTTGGAAATGAATGGATCTTCTTTTTTCATTATTTATTATTTATTATTTTTTTTAATAGTTATTTATTATTTATTATTTTTTTATTATTTATTTATCATTTTTTGATATTTTTGTATCATTTTTCCATTATTTATTATTTTTTTTATTATTTATTATTCCCAATTCATAATTTTGATAATTGATGTTAAATTCCATGTTGGACTTCTACTGAACAGGAGAAAATGAAACCAGGGAACAGTGGGAACCAAGGGAACATAAAGGATTCAGGAACATCAAGGATAGTGTAGAGTTCCACAGGAACTACGCGAGACAGGTTCGTTTGTTCCTAACTGGAAAACACTGGAATTAAAGTACAAGGTGTCCCAAAAAACATGGAAATTCAGTGACGAATTCGATATCGTCTTTTTAACTAATTCTTTGATTTAGTTTAGTGATACCTACTGAGAAAGCTGTAATCTGTAAGAGTTTCGTCTGCTATGTTTACATTTTGTTTGTTTATGTTTTGACTGCATACGGTTGTACTTAGTAAAACAAGAAAATTGCAGTATACAAACAGAGTAAACTTGTCCGTCTTCACTTTTCATCTTGCGGAGACATTATAGACACATCTTTACAACCTTTTACCCTTTTCATAAAATAAACTCTAGCAGACATAATAATATTATGGCTTTTGAAATTAGGTATTACTATGCTAATTCATAACAAAGACGAAATCGAATTCGTCACTGAATTCAAATGTTTTTTGGGACACCCTGTAGGATAAATAAATTGGTCTTTTGCACTCTTAACATTTTTTATTTCCACAAATTTTAGGCTTTTTTGTCTGAAGGTTGAATTTGGTTTTGGTCTTAAATAAAACATTTTTTAATTGGTAAAGACATAAATTAGTTTCCAGCAGGAGGAACTATAAAGGCAAGAAAAGGACTTCACAAATCTGCATATTTGTCTGTTTATCTTTTCAGTTTTTAATTTTTTAAATAAAGATATTTTCGATTGCTTCAATAAAAAGCAATGTCTTTTTATAATTATAGACAATAATTTGAATTGTTTTTAATCAAAAAAAACAATTGACATCTGTAGACGTTTTAGACCAAAGTTTACTAAAATAAAATGCTAAAATAAAGACGACATTTGTAATGTTCTTTGATTTTGATTCCAGGGGAGTCAGAGATCGTATATGAGTCAAGACACAACGTTTAATATTCCCAGCATTGCTACAGAGTTCTCTCAGCTCTCGCACAGGGATTTCAGTTAGAAATATAAACAAAAAATAAGAAATAAAACGGGGCATTCGCGTAGAGAACTTGCGCATACCCAAAATCCAGAGAAGAATGATGGTTTTAAACTAAAATCTGTTAATATCATTCAACGCAAGATGATTAAAAGGAAGAATGCATATTTTAACGTATTTCTAGATACGAGAATTAAACATCTAAACATATATCGAGTTACTTTTCTCACTGGATGGAACCAAATCAATTTCACGGTTCATTGATGTATTTAGATCAATTATCATTCTCCTTCCGTCCACGTTTTTATATTAATTATCTCAAAATATTGTTAAATATGAGACATACAGGGTTACCAAGGAAGGAAGAGACTCCTGTCTTTTTGAAGAATGCATATTTGATTTCCTCCCCCCCCCCTCCCCTTCACATATCAACATATCATTATTATAATAGCATTTAAAAATACATATTTGATTTCCCCCCCCTCCCCTTCACATATCAACATATCAACATTATAATAGCATTTAAAAATACATATTTGATTTCCCCCCCCTCCCCTTCACATATCAACATATCAACATTATAATAGCATTTAAAAATACATATTTGATTCCCCACCCTCCCCTTCACATATCAACATATCAACATTACAATAGAATTTAAAAATACATATTTGATTCCCCACCCTCCCCTTCACATATCAACATATCAACATTAGAATGGCATTTTAAGATTATTTTTTTTTTCATTGAATCTTATTATCAAAAAAGTTCCGGGTTTCGTTCTTTGTGGGTAACCCTGTAGGACTTCAGACACTATTCTATAAGGTTGTAAAAATAAATCATGTTTTAGTGTTAACTTCATATTTGTTTATCGAATCTTGTATTTTCTACTCATAATGCAACTTTTAAACTATTTCAGTCTTAAAGTGTTTTGTAAAAATCGTAAAATTTTTAAAGTTAAAAAAAGACAATTATTGATGAAGTCCGTTGTTAAAATTCATATTTGTAAGCCTAAAACCCCTTTTAACGTAACTTTCAATAGTAATCTTAATAAAAAAAAGACTGTTTTTACGGATATTTTTCATATTATAGATCAGCAGAGATATTACTCTTTTGCTTGAGCATACACAAATACAATAAATTCTAATATTTCAAAATAAAATATACTTTCTGATTTTAACAGATTCAAAAGTCAGCACTTGATATTTTTTCCGTTACAACCCTCTTTTAACAGCTTGGTATATTTTTTTAATAATACTCTGTGACCTTTCCATTAAGCGTTTTTTTCTGGATAGAATTGATCATTCAACAATGTACAAAATAGTGTTTCTCTAAAAATGTAATTATTATTGTATGATTATAATTTGTAACGTTTGTAACGTCAATGTCTAGTATCTTAAATTGAAAATGTTCAGTTTCTAAAAATAAGATAAGGAATGGTTTACAAAAAAAGAAATATTTGAATCTTAGCAAAGCATACATTGTTAATGAACAAGTGTAAGAACTAAAATTCCCATATTTTTCTTCTTAAGTTGTAGAAATCTGACGCAGACCTCACAATTGTATTTTTTGTTCCAGTTAAAGTCAAAGAAGAAAAAATGTGTCTGATAAAAAGATACAATATGTTATTATAATTATGTATGTGTTCACTGTACACATATTTTACCATAAAAAATATTTGCCGATTTTATTTATTCAGAGGTCGGAACTTTTAGCACCTTTAGAGGTCGGGTCAGAACCTTCAGAGATCGGAACTTATAGTACATTCAGAGGTCGGAACTTTTAGTACCTTCAGAGGTCGGAACTTTTAGTATCTTCAGAGGTCGGAACTTTTAGAACCTTCAGAGGTCGGAACTTTTAGAACCTTCAGAGGTCGGAACTTTTAGACCTTCAGAGATCGGAACTTATAGTACATTCAGAGGTCGGAACTTTTAGAACCTTCAGAGGTCGGAACTTTTAGAACCTTCAGAGGTCGGAACTTTTAGTACCTTCAGAGTTCGGAACTTTTGTGTGGAGCATCGTTAATCTTGAGGACTTGATATCAATATCCAATATAGGCAATAAATGATAATAAAAATATGATCACTACGGGATATCCCTGCCAAGGTTTGATCACTACAGGATATCCCTGCCAAGGTTTGATCACTACGGAATATCCCTGCCAAGGTTTGATCACTACGGGATATCCCTGCCAAGGTTTAATCACCATGGGATATCCCTGCCAAGGTATGATCACCATGGGATATCCCTGCCAAGGTTTGATCATTACGGGATATCCCTATCAAGGTTTAATCACCACGGGATATCCCTGCCAAGGTATGATCACCGCGGGATATCCCTGTCAAGGTATGATCACCACGGGATATCCTTGCGAAGCTATTATCACCATGGGATATCCCTGCGAAGGTTTGATCACTACGGGATATCCCTGCCAAGGCATGATCACCACGGCATATCCTTGCCAAGGTATTATCACCACGAANCCCCCCCCCCCCTCCAGTCATTGTACGATATCAATGTACCAGTACCATCTACAACAGTAATAATTAGACTTTTTAGTCCTCAACATGTAAACATTTTCAGTAGCAGGGTAACCTTTGAATTTCTGAGGGAGAGAGGAGAAAATTATGAAAATATATTAAATGTATGATGTATCCCCTGTTTTTGTGCGTCATTTATTAATGTTTTAAAATATGTTTCTTTAAGAAAAATAGATATTGTGAGTTTCAAATAAAACATGAAAATGTAAATATCTTCTTTAAACTAATATTTAACATAAAAAAGCACACTGAACTCTGAAATCTCTAAAATGGTATATTAAGTTTTTATTCAAATATCTTAACACTCCTTTTAAAAAAACCAAGGAGTTAAGGATTCTGAACAGTTCTGCCAGATTTCAGGATTCTTATAGATAGGTTAGCTCTATCACTGATTTCACCCTGAATCATGATGATAAATAATAATAAGAATAATAATAATAATAATAATAATAATAATAATAATAATAATAAAAATAATAATAATAATATTAATAATAATAATAAAATGATAATAAACGGGACTGTACACCAAATGCATTTTCCAACCTGTGAATGAAAGAAAAGATGGTCTGGTGGCATAAATCCATTCCCAGTATACATTATATTCGTTCTAATCAATACATTGCACTATCTTAATCCTTATAAACACATTGAAGGTTGATTGATTCATTGTTTTTTTAGTTTTTGAAGAATCCATTTTATACAGTGAATACCAGATATATGAATACATAGCAAGAGTTTTTATAATGTCGTATTCTCAATATATTTAAGATCAAATGCCACGGAAAGACAAGCTGTCCTGCATTTTTTAGGGCGATTAATCTACCTTGAGTTGAAAATAAAAAGCAGTTTTTTTAAGAATTATCCAAAAACTTATGACTTTACAATGATATTTAAATATATTTCCATAAATCGTAATCAACCTTTTGAAGCTGCAACATCTCAGCAGCTTTTTTTTGTGCATACCAAAAAATGAAACATAACAGCTGTCATAAATTTTAAAAAAAAATTTAAGACGACATATCATGCGCTTTTGCAATTTATTTTTTCATTTGAGATTGGCTCTGAACTTATTTCTGAGTTCTAATTGACAAGAAGTTGAAGTAGGCAAGTTGAGAAGTATAGATGATTATATTCACACTAAATAATGTTTTTGATCCTGAAAACTAAAACATGGTATGTAAATATTTAAAATTGCATTCTAAATTCATAAATCTTAAATCTATCAGAGCTAACAAAGCAAACGTAAATTCAATATTTTCCTATAAAAAGTTTGTTAAAAGTCCAGTTATGCTTTAAAAGTTTGTGAAATGAATTTCCTGACTTGTTGTTGAAGAGGTTTGAACGTAGGTCCGTTGTCCGCATCCTTTAAAGGGATTGTTTACAGATTTGAGCCTAATCATTTTTAGATTTTCAAATTTTCTAATTCACTAAAACAAAACGGTAAATGAAGGGAATTTGAATAATAAACAGATGCAGTAATTCGCAACATTTTCAAAAAATTAAATGATAAGAATATGTCGAGAACAGCGACACCTAGCGACCACAAAATCTTTGTTTAAACTATTTTGTATGTGAAACAAATTCAAAATATTATTAAATATTGACTACTTACAAATGCATCGAATTGAATTCGTTGATTATAGTTTGTAATATCTGAATAATTAATTTAAAATTTAATTGAATTATTTACGATCTGAGTGGAATATTACAACTTTGTGAATTTGTATGGACGCTATGTTCTTTGATTTGATTCGTGCTTTACCTTTACCAGATAGAAGTAAAATTAGTAGCGATCACCGTGGAATTCGATTCGACGTTTTTTTCGTGAACACTCCCTTTAAAGTATTTGTTTTAAGCCTATATCCAGTGGTTCTACCGAGTTTCCCATTACAAATTTGAGGAGAGTTGGTCCAGGGGTTCATGAATTATAATCGGAATCACAACAAGACAAACAGAGATTTCAACATAAACATAGAGAACAACTAAAGACAAAGTTTTAAAGTTTTAAAACCTGAAAGGAATCAACTATTTGTATTTTGACACCAGTAACTATCAAAGCTATCAGGGTTATCAGTACCATAGCTAGATACACCTGAAATATCAGGGTTATCAGTACCATAGCTAGATAAACCTGAAATATCAGGGTTATCAGTACCATAGCTAGATACACCTGAAATATTAGGGTTATCTGTACCATAGCTAGATAAACCTGAAATACATGGTAAAATTTAAATATAAATGAAGGTATAGTAAAGGGTTACCGAAAAAAAAGATGAGAGTTTAATGAAGACTCCTAAAGTATTCATATCTGAAGGTTGAATTTGGCTTTCCGTCTTTAATTTGCTTATCTATGATTTGTTGATGGTTCCTTTCTGGTACATATCAAACCCTTTGTTTTAAATCATGATTTTGGTTGCTTTTTATCACAAGTTCACAATATTAATATTGAAATATGTTTTACATATATTAATATCGAAATATTTTTTACAAATATTAATTCAAAATACTGAAGTTTATCTTTAGACCAAGGTATCTTAAGAGTTTAAGGTAATTATTCATGGAAAAAATGTTTTCTCTGCGTTAAACAAAATTATAGATGACTAGCTGAAGTGCCCGGGCCAGTGTTGCCCGTGAAATATTAAAAAATCTAATTATTGATTGATTCATTGTNATTTCTCAGATTTCTCATCAATCTCCTAAACATCAAGATTTCTCAGATTTCTCATCAATCTCCTAAACATCAAGATTTCTCAGATTTCTTATCAATCTCCTAAACATAAAGATTTCTCAGATTTCTCATCAATCTCATAATCTCATAATCAATCTCGTGGCGAAATTTACCAAAATGTTGGTTACGAATGTGTTGGAGCTCTTGTCTTATATTATGGAAAAAAATTCCATGATGATGAAGCAAATATAACAATAAAAATTGCCGACTTGGAAACAGAAGATTCTTTAGATGGCGTGATAATGGGATATGGGAGAATTTGCTAAATATTTTTATAAATGCTCCTGATTTTGAATGGTTAATGATAGATTCTACATTTGTAAAAACTCACAAAGCAGGACTTGGAGCGAAAGGCGGGAATCAAACGCAAGAGCTCCGGCTTGGAGTTGTTATATGGCAGCAAAGGCTACTAATACTAAATTCTTAACAACATTTCATGGCATTTACAACATCTCAAATTTGTTCAAACATCTCGAGCGACACCTATAAATAATAGGCGAGCATTGAGCGACGACGTCACCAACTTCTATTCGAGTTTGCTCCATTATTTTAAATAAATTTTATAAGTTCTTTTCTTTGCCATAGGGTATCAGCAACAACAAAGTAGCCTTACAAAAGAACAAAAAGAAGCTGTTGGTTTACTATCAATAGTACTTTCTTTAATACCTATAGCTTTTCCTCTAGCTTTTCCTCTAGCTTTTCCTCTAGCTTTTCCTCTATTTCAGGAGAAATAGTTTTTAAATTATATGATACATACGGCTTTCCTGTCGATTTAACTGATGATAGGCGCTATTGTTGCTTTTGTTGGTACATTTGCTAGAAGCAAATTAAGGGAAACTCCTGATTTTGCCGATGCCAAAAGAGAGCTGCATAAATTATGCAATAATTTAAAAATAGACAAGAGTAAACTAAAAGAGAGTTTTAACTGTATTTACCCTATCAATATCGCATATATCCTTAAGCTGAACCAATTCGATTAAATTAGTTTTCTGTGGGCAACCCATTTTTGTAAATAAAATATCCAAAGAAGATACTATAAAATTTTGTTGTATAACTTGCTCTATAGTGTAACCGAACTTATCTTTTAAAACGCTAGAACAGTGTATGAATGTAAGATAAAACCACACGGGACAACTTGAAGGGGTAGAGACCGACTATATCTCCCAACATTAATATTACAGCTGGATATTGCATAGGTGGTTTCACGAATTCAGTTAAATAAATTTCTGCACCTACTATTTCTCCCATAGATGACATGCCCTGTAACATGCGGCACACGGTAACTAAATATGCAGCTGCTATACCTATTTGTTCATATGTTGGAAGAATAGCAATTATAATGCATGAAATCTGATCCTTTTTAAAAATATATTGAATCGAACCATCTCTTATCTTATCCAAAACATTTCTGCCTGGTCCGTAAATTCCTGAAATTCTCATAACTACAATCGGGGTGTTTGCATCACGCTCCGGTGCTGCGTTCCGTGTCTCCTACAAATTCCTCAACCTAAATTAATTTCGAGAACTGGTATTATTCCAAATTAGGCTATATCTATAAATATAACAGATTTTTTTGCTCCACTAATAGCTGTTTTCATTATTTTTGCGATATTGGTTATTTTTTTATGCTTAATTTTAAATTTCCTGTCTTTGTTAGCCTATTCAACTGCTAATGATAATAATGCGGGGGTTGATAGCTATGTTAATCAAATCATCATAAGAAAATAAAATTATTTTACGCTTTATAAGTTGGTTAAGTTGTCTATAATCCGATTTAATTAAATTAATTTAAACATCAAGATTTCTCAGATTTCTCATCAATCTCATAACAAGTTTTATGAGAATTTAACAAAGTTTCATGAAATTCTATCAGAGTTTCATGATATTCTATCAAAGTTCTATGAGCCTCTATCAAAGTTTATGAAATTCTATCGACGTTTCATGAGATTTTTTCAACGTTTTATGCGAATCTTAGGATGTTTTATGAGAAAATATCAAAATTTTATGAGATTCCATCAAAGTTTTAAAAAATAGTTTCATGAGAAATTTTATAAGAATCTTACAAGTTTTATGGGAATCTAACAAAGTTTTATGAAATTTTATCAGAGTTTCATGATATTCTATCAAAACTCTATCAAAGTTTATGAAGTTTAATCGACGTTTCATGAAATTCTTTCAACGTTTTATGAGAATCTAAGGATGTTTTATGAGAATATATCAAAGTTTCATCAGATTCCATCAAAGTTTTATAAAATAGTTTCATGAGAATCTAACAAAGTTTCAGGAAATTCTAACAAAGGTGTGTGAAATGTTTTTTCTTTTAATATTCGGTGATGGTGATGGACCAAACCTTTTTACGGTTCAGCTCACTTTACCCGGCCGATTAAAAGCGAACAGTACACATTCAAGCCAATTCGAAGAAATGTCATTTTTATACTTTTCTCAAATTTGTTTTATAACATGAAAAATTTCGTTTTATAATGCACGATGTACATTATTAGGATAAAAAGCTGTAAATAATAAATAAAAAATAAACCATTGAATCAGAGACGAGGGGGGCTTCTTTCATTGATGGAGCAGATTTCACAGCAATCTCCTAAACATCAAGATTTCTCAGATTTCTCATCAATCTCCTAAACATAAAGATTTCTCAGATTTCTCATCAATCTCCTAAACATCAAGATTTCTCAGATTTCTCATCAATCTCCTAAACATCAAGATTTCTCAGATTTCTCATCAATCTCCTAAACAACAAGATTTCTTAGATTTCTCAACAATCTCCTAAACATCAAGATTTCTTAGATTTCTCAGCAATCTCCTATAAAACATCAAGATTTCTCAACAATCTCCTAAGCATCAAGATTTCTCAGATTTCTCAACAATCTGCTAAACATCAATATTTGTATTGATATGTAGTGTTCGCAGTTTTAGTACAGTACAGCTTTGTCTTTTTATAGTGGAGTGCATTTCAACAAATATATTCATGAATAAATCAAAGATACCAATGATAAATAATCTGAAATTGTGAATCCCAAAATATGACTGAAAACATTCTAAATTGATAAGGTTAAGGTTTGAAGGGTATCGTTGTAAAACAGGCATTGTCATCTATATATTGAGGGGAGGGGTGACTTGAAATTTCGTTTATAGTCCCTTAAATGTTCTAATAGTGAATAATCTCTCAAACCTCGTTTTCAATTCTTAACACAGAGCTCTCCTTCATTTTATCTCTTAAAATAAAATAAAATAAAAAATAATTTAAACAATTTATATTTTATCCGCACTGACAAGGTGACTGCTGCAAGTTCTTTAACTATAAGTTTATAACTTCAATATAACAGATTTTTTCGTTTTTCCAGTTTACATGATCAAATTTTTAACATTGAAATGTTCTAATAATGAGCTGCTAACTAGTAAAAGAACGTATAATCTCACTGTGGAGAGAAAATGAGTTTAATTCATTTTAACAGATTTAGGTTAGTTCTGTACAATGCAAACATTCAAAAGGTCCAATTTACTGAGGTAAGGTGTTAAGGTTAAGGTTATATATCTAATTCTTTTACTTTTTAACACAGTTCTATCCCGAAATTATTTGAAGGACTGCTATATTTGAACTGACAAGTAAAGTATATTGTCAAAGAGTGTGTTCTAACAAATTAAACAATTTAGTAAAAAAATATGAATTTAATTTCCAGTCGGCGAACACTGAACATCTGTTTATTTCCTGTCACAGTTTAACGACATGTACACTGTCCGATACATGTACATTGCACATTGTACATTGTACATGCCGTACTTTAATTCTATTTTCTGTTATCTCCCATGTTTTTGGAACACCCAGTATACCGCAATACTAGCGAGAACATGCACCCAACTTGAATAAACTCATTTTTAGCATTTTTACATAATTAAAATATATCCGCAGAGTTAGGAGAGGGGGGGGGGGGTTCCATTAAGAGGAAAAATATCTGTTTCAGGATATATTTCTGCAATCAGTCTTAATATCTGTCTATTATTAATATGCTTTTATATTCTTTATCCTGAAAAAATATGTTTCATGTCTTGCTTTTTTAAGAAATTTGAGTTATNTTCCCGTATTTTCTCCTTTTCCTTCAAGGATTCCTAGTTCAGATTTAAGGAGAAAATTGGTCCTCTACAATATATATATACATAAAATCATTTTAAAAAGAAAAAGTTAAAAGCTAAAGATTACTTGAATATAAAAACATATAATGGATTAATTCCGTTTTTCTAAAGTATCATCCTTTGTGGGTAATCGGCCTATATACCAAAGGTAGCAAGGTTTGTGTACAATTAGCTGTACATTTTAAAAGAAGTTTTGCGACCTTAAAGCTTTTTAATTTTCTTCTATATATAAATTTGGCTTGTCTGTCTGTCTGTTTGTATCCAATAAACGTCAAAACGGCTGAACCGATCGGGCCCAAATTTTTTGTGGGACATCTAGGGACTCCAGGGAAGGTTTATGAATGATCAAAATTTCAAATATTTGTCTCTATCAAAATTCGATCTTCATTAAATTTTTGAAAATTTTGAAAAACCACGAAATTTTTTGTGAAAATCCGCGAATTATTTTTGTTTTGTTTTACGATGTACACAAAGAGAACATGTTCACAATTAATTTAGAAGATGGGCGCGAAGCGCCCTATAAGGCTAGTAATTTAAATTTAGTGAGTTTAATTTTAACTTTTGATCGCTTTCACCTTAATTTTTACTCGTTTAAACATTCATCACCAAACATTTTAATTTATTTCATATATAGAACTTAACTTGTGTTATCAATGTAATCTATGATTGCAGCCTTTTCAGGTGTAAAGGGCAGTTCAACATCAATTATGATAGTAGTATCATCAGTAAACAGTGGAACTGAAACATCTTTTAAAAAATGTATAAAATAAGAAAAAATTGGAATAGCGGGGGAGGGATTATATTTTTAAAGAAATTATAAGAATGAATAAAAAATGAGGATGATGATACAACCCTGTATCCTCTAGGTTGGGTTAGTTTATGTTCAGGTTGGATTCACTCACTGGGTTTTCAATCTATCTGTTTCAACCTCCTTCAAACCATCCATCCTATGACACCTGTTGCCAACATACCAAACCAAACTTAGATTTAGTCAAGCGTTTATATTTAATAACATTCATCACCTTAATACTTTACAATTTTTTCTGTTTTGTCTTTGCAAACAATATACACTTTCTCATCATATTAGTTCCCTACGCCCTGAGAAACCCATTTGAACTACTTCTTTGCGCATTACTTGAAGTTAAACCGATTGAACTGATAGGACTCAAATCGGCAATTATAATTTTATAATAAAACTAAAAACTATACATTTATGTTATATAAAAAATCGACGATTAAAAATTGAAAACTTACAAAATAGATCCAGGACGTGGTCTAGAATTTAAAATGGTGTCCAAAGGAACACGACAGTTGACGACTTAAAGATTATCTTTTAGCTTAAAAATAATTTGCCGTATTCAGTATTCAACCTACTTTTACAAATATGATTCTTGAAACCAAAATAACATTTGCATTTCCATTATCCGAAAAATTAAGGAATTTCGTCCAGATTTCCTTCTACATAATACTTTGCTTGTCTGTTTGTTTGTTTATTTGTTTGTTTGTAGGTAAACCAATTGGGCCCAATTTTATTGTGGGACCTCATATGAGGGAATGTTTATGGATCGTTAGAATAAAAAATTTCGATTTTTCCACGAATTAAAAATGATAACAGAGCAACAATTAAAAGTTAAAGACGGAAGCTGAGTTTACTAATTAAAACCAGAAATTCTAAATCTAAATAAAATTTTTTATGAATTTAGCAAATTATTTCAATGATTAAAGACAATGATCAAGTCATCTCTGTCATGTTTGTGGGACACCCTGTACATCTAAATTACATTTAACAATTTACGTTTGATCTGTCACTGCGCTCAGCGGTATTTTAATCCGATAATTTAATCCACAGCGGTAATCCCAGGGTTCAGGATATGATATGATAATTTATCTCAAAATAATATTGAAATTTTTTTTTCCAAAATAAGTGGCTTGCTTTGTCATTTTAGATAGTTAAGAACAGAATCCAATACTGTGAAAAGTGTATCTTTAACTTTACATAAATCTTTCACAAACTCATCATGAAAGTGTTTTTTTCTGATTGTTGTTTTCTAGTAATTTCTGTTCTTGGGATCGCTTAATGAGATCGTATCAAACCGATATCTATACATCAATTTGGCTTGTCTGTCTAGTTATTTGTTTTTGTTTGTTTGTTTGTATCCAATAAACGTCTAAACAGCTGAACCGATTGGGCCCAATTTTTATTGTGGCATCTCATGTTAGCCCAGGGAAGATCTATGGATGGTCAAACTTGTAAAATTTGACCTGGAAAATAAATGAAGACTTTTTGAATTTTCAGAATTTCATCAATCTTAACAGAAAAATCGGCGAAATTTTGGGTTTTACACTTTTATGTAAAAAAGTCTTCAAAAGATTATAACATGAATTAATTCTTATCTGTTATGTTACATAACGTCATTGTTTCCAATGCGACTGTTATAGATTTTATTTTTGACATTATTTTACAAAAATCAAGAAAATTTTAGATTATCAAATTGATCAAACAAAAGAGAATGCTTTCAAATCAAATAAATGACATGAAGCATAAAAAAGGAGTCCACAGAGTTGATTGCGAACTATTTATTCTGATAATAATAATTTAAAACTTAATTAGATAAAATGGCGGAGTTGAGTGTGTTTATAAGGAAGTGCGGCATTATGATTTTCCAGTTGAGAGCGCGGTATGCCACGCCACTGCCACGAGTAATTGCTGTCTTTCGGGATCATTAATCCGGAGTATCACTGACATTGTTCATCCTCATTCATCTATTCATTCATTCATGTAATCTTCCTGTATATCCTATTGTTCATCCTCATTCATCTATTCATCCTTTCATGTAATCTTCCTGTTCATCATGTTGTTCATCCTCATTCATCTATTCATTCATTCATATAATATTCATGTTAATCCTATTGTTCATTCTCATTGGTCTGTTAATTCATTCATGTAATCTTCCTGTATATCCTATTGTTCATCCTCATTCATCCATTCATTTATTAATTCATGTAATCTGTCTCAGAACAAATTATTTATATTTTAAGAAAAAGAGAATTAAGATAAATGTAGAATGAATTTTTAAAGGATTAATGAAAGATAAAAAAGATTGATCAGGCTAGAAGATGAATAGGAGTAGGATGAATATAGAATAAATTTTTAAGAAGAATCTCCTATCTCCTATCTCATATATCCTATCTCCTATCTCCTATCTCCTATCTCCTATCTCCTCTCTCCTATCTCCTATCTCCTATCTCCTATCGCCTATCGCCTATCTCCTATCTCCTATCTCCTCTCTCCTATCTCCTATCTCCTATCTCCTACCTCCTATCTCCTATCTCCTATCTCCTATCTCCTATCTCCTATCTCCTATCTCCTATCTCCTATCTCCTGCCGAGTTTAACTAATTAGCTGCACAGTAAGAGTTTTACTAATTAATCTAATTGAAATAAACTTAAAAGGTTTTAATTGAAAAGTACAACATTCATGTCACTGCCTTTCTTTTACCTATCTCCACAGGATTAAATTAATTTTCTTCTTTTCCAAATTTGTAAAACTCTGAAACACACACAGCTTTTTATTCCAAGATGTTCAAACTCTAAATTGTATATTGTAAGTACAGGGTGTCTCAATAAACATGGAAGTTAAGTTACGACATTATATCGTCTTTAATCCACGCGGCATATTTTCGTAAAAATAATCCTACAATCGGGATTTACAAAATGTGGTCTACCATTTTATACCTTTAACATTTCAAAATTATATTATTTGATCTTACAGAATTCATAGTTTAAAAAACTAAAATCTACGATATTTGGGTTTTAAACATAGAGAATAGAATATATAGAGAGAAATTAAAAGAATCTCTCGGTATGGATTTTTTCAGTCCCTTTCAGTCTGAAAGGGAGTTCAAAGTGTACAAATCATGTAAATGTTCACAAATTATATGCAGTAGAGTACATTAATACAGTATCTTCCCTATAATATCCATTTCAATTTCGATTTTTTAAAACTGTGAAATAAACTTTATAATGAATTAGGTGGATAAAAACATCATTTGATTTATAGTTATAACGGAAAATCATCGTTTGTAAAGTGGAAGGCATGGAGTCTATGTGAAATGATCATTGGTCAATCATAAAACCAGCCTATTTCTTTATTTGGTTTTCTTTTAACAATAATTTTAGATTTTCTATAAATGATATTCCAGGGCCCAACAAGTTATATAGCATTGTTATGTGAAGTACACCTGCAGTATGGAAACAGTACAACAAAATGGCCGTTTTACACTTTTTCTAGTAAATTCCTCTCTATATATTCTATCTCTATGGTTTTAAAGGTTTAGGGATTAGAAAATCAGAGTTTGTGGAAAACACAATTCCTTTGTTCAGCTTCCAATTTTTTAAATAGATTCAAAATTGTCTAACACTATGAAACGCTTTTATCGGAAATCAAAGACGATTTTCAAGTCGTCTTTTAATTCCCATGTTAATTGGGACACCCTGTATAAAGTGTGGCTTAACATCGAAGACTTAGGTTCAGAATATTGGGACTGACGAAGAACCTAAACGAAGATCTGTCGCTGATTTTAACGCATGGTCAGTGCGCCCAGACAAAGGTTTATTTCCTTCAGTTTAAACCAGAGACAGGAGATACACTCATTATATCAAACCAGGCGGATATAAGTAGGGGGTCGGATATAGGTAGGGGGTCAGGAGGCGGATACAGAAGGGGGTTCAGCAGGCGGATAGAGAAGGGTGGGGGGTCAGCAGGTGGATACGGAAGGGGGTTAGCAGGCAGCTATAGTATAGGGGTCAGGAGGCGGATATAGAAGGGGGCTTGAATGGTGGATATTGAAAGGGGGTCAGTAGGCGGATATGACGAGTGCAGGAGGCAGATATAGGATGGGCATTACGCAGTTGGCAGATACATTACACAGGGGAGATCAAGGCAAACATATTGAGGAGAGGGTTGGAGGCGGATATACAGGGGAGATCAAGGGCAGATATATTGAGGAGAGGGTAGGTGTCGGATATACAGGGGAGATCAGGGGCAGATATATTGAGGAGAGGGTAGTTGGCAGATATACAGGGGCGATCAGGGGCAGATATATTGAGGAGAGGGTAAGAGGCGGATGTATAGTAAAGATCAGGGGCATATATATTGAGAAGAGTGTAGGAGGCGGATATGCAGGGGATAGCTCGTGAGGCAGATAAGGGGGTGGTTCACGTTCAGTGCTTATACTCTTATATACTATACAATTGTTAATACAGACGCCTCCGTAGGGGGGGGATGCTCTGGTTTAAATATGATCCTTGTTCCTCTTTCAGCTGCAGGGCGTGAGATGTTGTGCACGGAGAATACATCTTTAACGGCCAAAACTCTACTTAAGTTTGATCTTTTAACTTAATCAGGACTTAAGTGCAGTTTATGCCGCAAAACTTCTGACTCCGTTGGTTAATAACATAACAGGGAGTTTGGTGGCTAGGCAGTTAGGTAGCTAGGCAAGTTGGTCAAGTGTTTTAATCAAATATTCATATTAAAAAAAAGAATAAACTAGCTTGGCTCGGAACATTTTCCACGGCTTAAAATTTAAAGTTGCAGCGAATTTAAAGAGTTAAATATTCGATTATCAATTACACCGGTACACTTTTACACTTTTAGCTTTTATCCGATTAAAAGTACGAAATATATTGTACTGTTTTCTATCCGGAAAAGTGTAAAATTATGTCAATTTCCTTCTATAGTATCCTAAATTCTTAAATCCGTACGTTTTATAATGAAACCAAAATAAATTTTCATATAGAAAAACAATGATATCTTAAGTTCCGACGATTCTTGAACAGGTATTGTTGAGCATAACTAACGCACAATGGAGTATCAGAGGCCGGGTTTGTGGGGGTCAGCAATATTGTGTTTTCACCATCAACCTCTTGTTCGAGAAAGATGAGGCTTGGTTGTTGTGCTGAAGTTCTAAAATAGAACGGAAAACTTGTAATTTTCGTGAAAACTTGGATATTTTACACACGAAACCAACACTTGGGCGGGCTTGTGGTGCCCCTACATCTTTGATTAATGACATTTGGAATCTATTTATCTAGAGTATCCTGAATCCATTTAAATTTTTTGTAAAAATGCTAGAAAATGATTTATTCCCCGAAATATTTAGCTTTAACAAATGTTTAACTTTAATTGAACTTGTTGTAGTTAAATGCAAGGGTGAGGGTACTTCTGGGACAATAAGTATGTTTTGCGCTCTAATACATTAATTAGCAGAAGTTAGAATTTCTAAGACTTTATCTATATATAAAACTTACATGACCCCAGGGAAGGTGTGCGAAAAAAATATTATTAAATACACGAACTTTCGTTATTTTTGTGTTATATTGTACAAAGAGAATATGCTCACAGACAGAGCCACGATGAAAAGTTGAACTAGAAGATGTAAGCTATAAGTTGCCCTGATAGCATAGTAAGTATAAATCATTATTCTGAAAAAGTTAGAATAATAGGTAGAAAAAACTTAATATTCTGATTTTTCAATTCTGCATTTTTTTTATTCCGTATTTTTTATTCTGTATCTTTTATTCTGTATTTTGTAGCACATAACAAGAGTTTAAAAGAATTGTTTCTAAATGAAGCTTGTCTTCCATCCTAGATAATAAATCTAAAATCCCAATTTTTAAAAAATATAATTTTTAAATATTTTGAATTGTTGAGACCGTCAATTTGAAACTAAACAAATTTAAGCAAGTTTCCTCACCATTTCTATTTTTAAAGTGTCTCAACGTTCTGACCTTTGAATTTAGCTCACAAACTACATTTTTATTTTTATAGCTTTAGCTATATACATTCTAGTACTATAAAACACTTGTGTTTTTATAGCCCTAGTTATATATATTTTAGTACTATAAAACACTTGTATTTTTAGAATCATGTTTTAAAGAGGAGATTGGAAAAATTCTCATCAATTTTGGCTTGAGAGCTTGCTACCTTTGAATTACTGGAGCAGATCGTTAAAATGCATCCTTTGACAGTCCAGGACAATAAAGATTGAACCCTACCTGGATCTATGTTTGTGACGGTCATCTCGTATTTCAATATACTAAAATTAGCATAATTAACGGTTGAAAAGTACATTCACACCGTTCTAATCTCAGCAAATTTTCAACCGTCATTCTTCCATTAAAATTGAAGTAAGGTTTGATGATGACTTATTCTGTTTGTACCAGACATGACGAGTATTCTATATCAGACATGAGTATTCTGTACCAGACATGACGAGTATTCTATATCAGACATGAGTATTCTGTACCAGACATGACGAGTATTCTATATCAGACATGAGTATTCTGTACCAGACATGACGAGTATTCTCTATCAGACATGCATATTATGTACCAGACATGAATATTCTGCACCAGGCCCGAGTATTCTGTACCAGACACGAGTATTCTGTACAAGACACGAGTATTCAGTACCAGACATGACGAGTATTCTATATCAGACACGAGTATTCTGTACCAGACACATGTGCAAGTGCACACTTTAGACTGTGAAATGTACAGTTCAACAAGTACGATGTACTGCAAGTCTATTCTACATTTCACAGTCTAAAGTGTGTACAGCAAACTAGAACAACACGCGGTACAAAACATTGTACATGAACATTTCAAAGTTTAAACTACACGACAGCGTACAGTACTGTACTATATTTTATGGTACTGTAATGTACTGTACGTGTGTATCCATGTATACCCTTTACAATGACATATGAATATGCAGAGTAACTCTTTTGTCTAGGATTTAAAGCTCTCAGTTCAAATAAAAGAATCGTTTAACTAGAGGTTGTAAAATAATTATAACAATGTATACAGGCCTTGTTCAGCTGACATACTTCATTACTACCCAGGCATAGAATTCAGGCCAACGCCCTGAACAGGCATAGTATCCTTACCCTCTCAATACATAGGAGAGCTTATTTAAGATAATAGACTTCATAGGTAGTCATTTGGATATTGTTCTGAACTTAGAGATATTGTTTCTAGCCTAGAGATATTGTTCCTAACCTAGAGATATTGTTCTTTACTGGAGATATTGTTCCTAACCTAGAGATATTGATCCTAACCTAGAGAATTGTTCCTAACCTAGAGATATTGTTCCTAACCTAGAGATATTTTTCCTAACCTAGAGATATTGTTCTATACTAGAGATATTGTTCCTAACCAAGAGATGTTGTCCCTAACCTAGAGATATCGTTCCTAATCTAAAGATACTGTTTCTAACCTAGATATATTGTTCCCAATCTAGAGATATTGTCCCTAACTTAGATANTGTCCGATCCTAATCTAGAGATATTGTTCTGTAAATATATAAAGAAAGGCCCAGAATTAAACAATTAGAATTTAAGATTCTTGGTTCCCTATAGAGTTATTTTAGGACCTGATATTCTACTATTCTATATATAATATGAGGATACATAGAACTCTAAATAGGCAGGTTGTTGGGTTGTACGAGAATGTATTGAAACATCATCAAACTCTATATACATTATACATACATAATTATTGATGAGGATTGAAATATAGGCTTGGTTTGTACTTATATTCACCTACCTTGTTTATTCATGCATAGTTCGGACAATATGAGATCATTGAGGACCAAGCCCAGGTCACCAGCCAGGTCATTTCAAGCCTTTTCCAAGCTATGACCTTGATTTTGTCCAGAACAAGCCCCTCCGGCTTAGTAAGGCCCCGCTCCTGAGTAGTAGGCCTTGTGTTGGTGCCACAGGGCGTTAAGCTCTCCATGAGTCCCGGGCCGGTACAAGCTCTCCAGTTGACCCGGGGCACAGAGAAGCTCTCCTAGGCCAGGTCGACACGGCGCGGCGCAGCGGCGGCCTGACACGACATCTCGCGAAGATCTTCAGACGTCAGTTGAAGGTCGACTTTGAAGCAGTGAAGAGCCCTGAACTGTGATGGTTTAGAGATTGATTGATTGAGTGATGGGAGATACAAGTATGACAGCTCGGCCCCCCCTTCCCTTCCACCTTCTCAACCCACCCCCAGGGGTTCATTTCCCATCAATATCACCTTTTATTCATCCAGTTGCAATGAGGTAAGTTTTCATCCAATATGTTAACTTCAAAAAAAATCTGTCAAGAATTTTAAAATGCTGAAATGTTAAGCGTAGGCTAACTTTGTTGTACTGCCAGAAATAAGATGGGGGGGGGGGGGTGATGCAGTAATACGTTTGTTTTAAATTGTTTCAAAGATGTATTTACAAATTCCTATGAACAGATTTTTGTTGAAAATAAGTGAACAAATTTTAAAGTTGAATTATTTTTTAAAGCTTTGTAGAAAATCGATGACTTATATTTTAACTATTTTTATGATGATATCACATGCTTTCTTTAATTATTGCATTTTATAGCTGGTTGTTAACTTTTCAGATTTATATAAACTTTTATCCAATTTCAATTTTTCCAAAGTCATCTTCAAAATTTGAAAAAATTTCATGATCATTGAAAAAATATATTTATATTTCTGAAAATTAACATTTTTTAAATGTTGAATATCAGGGAATCCCTAAACTTTATTCTATCGAATAATTATTTCCACATGCTAAATGTATGAAAAGCTTTGCAGCATGCTAGCAGGGAATCACTAGAGTTTGTTATTGAAGTTAAAATTTTTAATTTGATTTGATTTCACCATATCTAAGAAATGTATAGAAATGTTTTAGAAAAGAGATGATTAAATTATTGTTGCCCAATCCTCAGGACTTTAACTAGTTTTTCTGATATTTAAAAATAAAACTAGAGTTATCAGTTTTACAGAATAAATAAAAAAAATCATCACGCTTTGTTTGAAGAATAATCAATTTTAAAGCACCTGATCCTCTTAAAACAAGATTGTTTATGTGTAATTATAATGTTTAGTTTCGTATTATCATTATTATCATTATTATCATTATTATCATTATTATCATTATTATCATTATTATCATTATTATCATTATTATCATTATTATCATCATGAAAAGGATTAGCGTTAGAATAGTACACCCATTATTTTCTGCTTTTCAAACAATTTTAAAATCTGACATTTGATTTTAAACTTGAATATCAATCAGAGCATGCTTTCTTTTGACCTTATCCTTCCCTTCCTGCCCTTTCCTGCCCTTTCCTGTCCTTTCCTGCCCTTTCCTGCCCTTTCCTGCCCTTTCCTGCCCTTTCCTGCCCTTTCCTGCCCTTTCCTGCCCTTTCTTACCCTTTCGAGCCATTTCAGGGAGCTAATATTAACTCATCATCTGACATTATAAAATTAAACATTAAATGCTTGCTATCTCATTCTTGTCATTATATCCCTGCTGCGTATTAATTCATTATCCCCAGCTCCTTTACACTATGTATACTTTTTATCCCTATATCCTCTGTATTATGTGTCCCTGTAGTTTGGATCCCTGTATCCTTGTACTCCGTATCCCTTAATATATCTGTATCCCTGCGTTTCCCATGTATTCTCTGTATTCTGTATCCCTATATCCCTGCATTTCTGTATCCCTGTATCCCTGCATACCTGTATCCTTATATCCCTGTATCCCTATATCCTTAAATCCCTGTATCCTTAAATCTCTGTATCCTTAAATCTCTGTATCCCTGTATAGTGTATCCCTTTATCCTTAAATCCCTGTATCCATAATCCCTATATCCTTGTATCCCTGTATCTTATTTAAAATTTCCCGAACGCCTGGGCAATGGTCAGGCCTATATGAATTCCCACGAAAATCTGTAAAATCTTTAAAGATTGCATCTAGCCAGATTAGAATTGCATAACATAAACCTGTTTTTAAATACTTTTTGAACATCTCTTTAAACTGCCCTGAGGTATACGAGTGCAGAAAATTATGTCTCCTGTGAACTGCTCAGTTTCTTAAAGAAAATTTTTCTTTTAATGCTAAAGAACAGAATGAAAGGAATTGAGTCTTTGGAACAAAATCAAATATTTAAACCTCAATATCTTTAGAACCCGATGTTGTAAACCTTTGATATTTCAAACTCAGATTATTTTATCTAACAAAATTCATAGTTTGAAATATCTAAGGTCTGCAACATTTGGTTCCAAAGATATAGTGATTATAAAATCAGAGTTTGTGGCAAAAACTCAATTCCTTTGTTTATAATTTTTAGCTTTTTACCGTAGTGCATACTAACGCAGAATGTTAAGTTGTAGGAATAAAAAAAATTAAAATTATGGTTAAACGTAATTTTATGATATAAGCACATTTTTTAATAAATATATATTTTTCAAATAAGGCATTAATTTTTAACGTTTAGGCTGGTTAATGTTTAAAGATATGTATATTGTATAACCTAGGATCGAATTTAATGAATTGAAGAGATCGCTTAGATACCTACCGTCGGTTTAAATCATGAATCACCGTTTCAAATCATCTCGAATTTTAAACTTTGAATCAGTGATTTAGATTTGAACCGGCAGTCGGTATTTCAGCAATCTAGATCAAATTCCTTAAATTTGGTCCCAGTGGGAAAATATGAATAAAGAAAAGTTTAATAACTCGTTCAAATGAACAAATGAAAAGGGTAACAAAACACAGTTCAAATTCAACTACTTCTCTTTCTTTATAAATAACATCTCTGAGTTTATGCTTCTCTAGAATAGGAATATTATATAATTTAAATACGCTGGCATATTTTGTAGCATTTTGTTGTGGAAACTTAAACATAATCTAAGATGACCTTTTATTTAAAATAAAAGCTGTCACGAACAATTTACAACGGTAGAAGTTAAATTTTTATATAAGTATCTTCTACGGAGACATGTAAATATGCCTGAAATTGGTTCTTTATCAGAACTATAAGCATCAAAATTACGGTTATCGTAAATCATGTAAAGATTTATTTAAATTAATAATAATTGTTTTAAAAACACTGAACACACCTTTAAATGATGATTGAGAATATTTTAAGTGATCACTCTGTAAAATGCAAGAAAAAATCATATTATCTGTTTACAGTGGCAACTCCGTCATCATAAATTCTCTTTGGAATAATTATGTAATTAAAGCTTGAATGTGCATAGAAGGAATAGCAATAAATTACTCCTGTTCTGATGGAACAAGAGACTAACTGGTTCAACCAGAGATCTAACCTTTTAGATCCACTAGCCAGGGGGGAGGGGGGCCTGAGCCCGCTAGCCAGGACGGGGACTGAACCCACTAGCCAGGTGGGAGGGGGCCTGAGCCCGCTAGCCAAGGGGGTTGCCTGAATCAAAGTTCTATTTTTTTTCATTCTATTTTTATTTTCAGCTATGCTAAGAGTTGGCAGGAGAATTTAAAAAGACTTCAACGTCCGGAGATTAGTTTAAGTATTCGCCCTCCATCATCAGAATTCAATCAGAGCCTCCGCCCTCCGCCTTGTTCAGAGTTTTCTCTCCGCCCTCCGCCCAGTATAAGTTTATCTATTCTTAACTCCTCTTCACTCTGTGATCCCAAACTAGAGTTTAATTCCGAAATTAAATCCTCTTTCAAGCTAGAAGATGAGTCGGGGGCCCTCAACCTGTCTAAAGGAGGGGGCGAGGATTGGTCGCCACCCCCCTCAACTTCTCCTGATACAAGTAGGAGTTCTCCCCCCCGGTCGCCTCAGGGATACAGACCCCCTACATATACTAGTCTGGAGATATGTGTAGTGTGTGGGGATAGAGCATCAGGTTTATATTTATTAAACTTTTACATCCTTTCACATATTCTTTCCTTTAATCATTCTTCCTTTCATCCTTTATTGATATAAATTTAATATTTATTCACTCTAGCATTCAAATTTTATTCCACTTCTATAATCCAATTTTTATATATTTTCTCATTACTTTACTCATCCTTTTAGTAACCTATTCATTCCTTTACTCATCCTTTTCTTAACCTATTCATTTCCAACACTCATCCTTCCTTTCATCCCATCTATCCTTGTATTCTTTTATTAGGTAATTCTTGTTAAAAAGATTGATATCCACAATTTGTACAATAATAAATTTATTCCATAAAATGTCATTTCCATATTTCTTGAATAGATATAAATATTAAATTGGGAAGAGAGAGGATATTATTTTAAAGAATCTTTTTACTCTTCGTCTGTTATATTTTCGGCTTTAAATCTCTGATTTCTTGTTCAAGCAATGCTTTCATTTTTATACCATCTGCTGCCTTAACTACCTCAGTGCTGTGAGCTGTGAGGGGTGTAAAGGATTCTTTAAGCGAAGTATTCGGAAACAGCTCGGATACTCCTGTAAACAGAACAAGGACTGTGAAGTTACTAAACATGCCAGAAACAGGTAAAGTTCAATTTGACTGATTGATTGATGAATCAATAATTAAATTATGACATCATTAATCTATGAAATATTAAAATGTCTAACTAATTATATAATTGTATCTAGATGTCAGTATTGTCGGCTTCAAAAATGTCTGATCATGGGAATGCGATCCGACTCTCCCCGTGTTGCCGCCGCGAGCGAAGCGAGAAGATCAAGTAATGCAAGCAGTAAACGAATTAGTGTAGATACAGAGCTTAATGGCAAGATCGGAGTCAAGTCGGAGCTTTATGATTCTCCGACCCTTCTCCCAAGACGAGCTTTTATCCCGGAGTCAGTTCAGTCTAGGGAGGAGGATCAGGTTTCAAACCGAAGTGTCTCCGACTCCGGGTCCTCCTTGGGAGACTCCAACCTGCTCAGCCAGACCATGGACAACCTGTTGACCAGGATCCGGAGTATGGAGGAGTCTAACACCAGCTCGGATACAGAGGACGAAATCAACTCTGTTATTTCTGATCGTCCTCTCCTGGACGAAGCTCATTTAAAGTTCGATCTGACAATTCCTTCTCCAATGCACTCCACTCCAACTATTCATTTTGTGTGTGAGACTGCCTCTAGGCTCCTGTTCCGAACCCTAAACTGGATAAAATCCATCCCATCCTTCAGTCTCCTCAAACTCTCCCTACAGATAGATCTAGTTCGTCAGAGCTGGGCCTCCATGTTCATCCTCGGCCTAGCTCAGATCTCCAGACAGATATCCGTCCCGTCCTTGCTCAGCCTCGTGGTATCCCACCAGCAGTCGAGGCTGGCCGGGGACTCCAGCCTCAACGTGAAGGAGGTTGCTGAGACGGTGTGTAAGATCCATGAGTACGTGAAGAGCTTGAGTAAGCTTGAGCTTGATGATTCTGAGTTCGGATACATGAAAGCAGTTCTACTCTTCGGAGAAGGTGAGATCACTCATCATCCCAACACTCCTCTATCCTTAGAATTTATCTACAGGGTGTCCTAAAAATAATGCCATCCTAAGTTCATCTAACGGGTGTTTAAAAAAATTACTTCAACATCCAACAATGGAAAAACTTTGCGATATAAAAAAGTCAAATTATTTTAATGTTTTTTGAGTATGTTTTTCTGAACACCCTGTATGGAGTATCTATTCATGATTACGTGGACGAAATAAACCGAATTAAAGGCCAGGTTGTGCAATGATGGAGACTTTTATGTTTTTTTTTCTTTTCTTTTGAATAGAGATTTTAGAGCTTGATTCTTTAGGATAATTCTCGCACTTCTGTGTGCCAAGGCTTCAATATCAATATTAAAGGGAGTGTTAAAGGATGTCAAAACTTGGATTTCATTCTTACCTCATTTTTTTATAATAAAGTTTTGTATTGCAGAAGGATCAGGAGTAAACCGGCTCCAGGAGGCAGCTCTCTCCCAGCTAGAATCCTACCTAGAGAAGGAAGGACGGGATAGATCCAGGTTTCCTCGTCTCCTCCTTCTCCTCTCACCCCTCTCCTCCCTCTCCGCTTCAACTATAGAGGATCTTTTCTTCTCCGGGATTATCGGGAATATAAAGATCCCGTCTGTCATCCCATATATCCTGCAGATGGAACAGACTGATACTTCAAGTTCTGAACCTACTCATAATATAGTTCCATCCCCTAAACAAACTGAATTTTTTCTTATTTTAGACGAATGGCACATAGATAAATATATGCATCAAAGTTTATTGTAATAGGCTGTATGTGCAATAAAGAGGCATTATATTGTATTAAAGTTTAAAAAAAGGTGGATAGGGGTCGGGGACTCCCCCCCCCCTTCTGTCAATGAATGAGTGGATATATGTTATTTCAATATTATTCTGTACTTTTCTAAAATGTATATTCAATAACGGAGCTTTCTCGACCTTAAACTCTGAAAATTGAAATTTAAAAAAATAGTTTTTATCATAAATATATTTTATTGATCATGCCGGGACGATTAAAAGTTTGAAAAATTCTTCCCGTCAAAATTCCATCCTTTGTGATACACCCTCATTTTTTTCCTTTTATGCCTTCCCCCCTCCTTCACCTTTCATACCCTCATCTCACCTTTATCCCCACCCCACTCCCCTTTCAAGCATTAAATTCTCCAACCCTTATATGTATCCAATCCTTTATATACATTCACAGTGCACCATTTAAATAACAAAACAAAATTTATGCAAATAAAAATTAAAAGTATTGTACATTGTAATTAATAAAAGTCAGGGGAAGATTGGAAAAATAATTACATGAAAGAAAAAAAATGAGAAATATGCAGATAGATAGACAGATAGATAGACAGATAGATAGACAGATAGATAGACAGATAGCTAGTTAGATAGCTAGACATATAGCTAGACAGATAGCTAGACAGATAGATAGACAGATAGGTTGTGCAATGATGGAGACTTTTATGTTTTTTTTTCTTTTCTTTTGAATAGAGATTTTAGAGCTTGATTCTTTAGGATAATTCTCGCACTTCTATATTTTTATAACAAAAAATAGCTAAAATTGTAATTCAAGACCAAACGGTGGGAATAAACTTTGAGAAACCTACCTGGGCAACGTTGGGATCCCAAGCCAGTAACTTAATAAACATATAGATAAGATACTAATATAAGACAAAAATCTATTGATAGTAAACACACTAAATAGATAGATAAATAGATAGAAAGATAAATAGACAGATAGATAGAGATATAAGTATTTAGGCCTAGTTCCAGCTATCTAAAGGTTAAATTAGAATTTGGTGAATCTAAAGTCAGTTATTGAATGATTTGCTTAAAGATTAAGGAAAACGTTAAAATATAAATGAAACGCATCAAATGTAAAAAATTGATAAATGTAAAAATAAATTCCGTATATATATATATATATAATCGTCTCTGAAGTCTTATCCTTTGTGAGTAGCCCTGTATATTATTTTAACTTGGCTACATTAATATCATCAGTAATCTATCATCCGACTTCATCTAGACTGGAACAACCTAGTCAACTCGCAGCTCCTCCAGTTTTGACTTTTGATTTTAAACCGAAGTCTGAGAAAGAAAAAATATAATTTATCAGAGCAGGGAACTTTAGAATGGGATACCTTTAATCCCGACTGCTTAATCCGAATATCCTATGTGGACACTTTTAATTCCTCTCTTTTTGGATGTATTACAGAAAAATCAAAAACACCGTTTTTTCAAAATTAGAGAGTCCCTCCCGTCTCTGTATATTAATCTGAATTAAATGAGAGAACTCTCATTAAATTGCGCGCAAAATTTAAATTTCCCGGCTTCTGATTCTCCACCTTGATTGGTTAAATTTTGTACACTTTTCAGGATACAAACACATGATTAGTTTAGTCTCGAGATTAAGAAAAATAGAAGATCAAGCATTGATCTCGATATCCACCACTCTAATTTTCAGCTCTGGTTAGATATTAAATATATTCTCTTCGATACAAAACATGTCAGATTTCATTCTAATGTGATGTTTAATTAAATTTGACGTTATTTATGTCGGATCTTTACAAAATAGGAGACTTCTTTTCCCTTTAATATTTACTATATTTTATCTATCATCCAATACAGCTGTAGCCTTTAGGAAACCAGGCCCGTAGCTGGGGCAGGGGGCACAAGGGCACCTGCCCCCCTCCCCATTCACCCACCGAAGGGGGGGGGCACACTTTCTGAGTCAAAAAAGAAGAAAATGAAAAAAGGAAGAAGGAAAATAGGGAGAAAATTGTCCTAAAATCTAAGTTTTGTTTCCAATATTATGTGTAAAGGATTATTTTTATTTCAAATGAATGAAAAATTGAGTTTTCTGAAATATATTATTTGTGAATTTTTATATCTATTCTGTCTTGTGAAATATCCTGTCTTGTGAAATGTCCTGTCTTGTGAAATATCCAGTCTTGTGAAATATCCTGTCTTGTGAAATGATGGGTTTAATTTTTTTGGTATTTTGAGAAGCTTATCCTTTCCCCTTCTTTTCTCAGATTAATCATTGTAATGAACCATTGTACAGAAAAAAAAATAACATGGTGACAAATTTAAATCATATACAAAATATGTCTAGGTTTAGGAGAACCTGGTTGTACGCATCCTTAAGTTTGCAGAGGAGTATTTTTCGAATTTTAGTTTAAGAAAACTTTAGATTGGTTGAGCTTTTCTTGATCTTTACAGGATTTTACATCCTTTACTTTCTCTGTATAAGAAATAAGTATTGCATGGCTATTCGTGTTTAAAAAATTTTCAGTATTACATTTATTTATAGTTTATCTCAAATCTCTACATCTTAAATACCTCCAGTTTCTTTTTGTTTTGATGCAAATAGCTTCTCTATTTTTCAATAGCGCTTAAGGGGAAGGAAAACAGGCAAAATATCTATCTTAATAAACTATTATGTGTGTTAAGTTAAAAATCTAGGTTTTTAGTCCTTTTTCATTTATTTTCACCCTTTTTAAGTTTTTCAGGTCAAAAAAAAAAATTCGGCTGCGGTGCGCCTCCTACTTTACTATCCCTCCTATTTGTACTTTTGTGCCCCCCAATTCACCCCCCTTTAAAAATTCCTAGCTACGGGCATGGGAGAACCCTGTTCTCCCATCTTGGTATTTCAAAAGGTTCAACAATTTATTTTATTAATATTAATATAAGGTCGCATTTGCTTTTGCATTTGTCACCCTTTGTTATATGCTATTTCCAGCCGGTAATTCCGCTTAAAGTAAACCTTTTAATAACAGTAATAATAATAATGTATATTATATATTTCAAACTAGTTTACAGGTTAAATATCAACAATATATGTAGAAATATAAGGTAATGGGATAAAAGCAGTGATATATTACATATTTACAATTACAGAGACTATTTTACAGGTTAAATATCAACAATATATGTAGAAATATAAGGTAATGGGATAAAAGCAGTGATATATTACATATTTACAATTAAAGAGACTAGTTTGCGAACTAGAAAAGTCTTCAGATTGCATAAATTACCCCGAGATTTTTTTTAAACTTTAAAACTTTAAAAGCGATAAGCTGTACCGGATAATTGTTAACTTAAGTTGAGAATCAATTCGTGGATTGAAGAAAAATATATGGGCCAGGAAATTGGGAAAGTAAAATATGCCAGAAAAGGCTATATTTAGGTGAAATAAGATTGAAAAAAAACTAAATATACCTTGGAAAGATAAAAGAAGGAGGATTTAAAGGTTGATATTAAATAAGAGGGGAAGATGAATGAAAAGGATAGACATGGGTTACAGAGATGGATGACAAGGTTGGTTATGGGATACAGAGATGAATGAAAAGGATGGATATGGGTTACAGAGATGGATGACAAGGATGGATATGGGATACAGAGGTGAATGACAAGGATAGAAATGGGATACAGAGATGGATGACAAGGATGGTTATGGGATACAGAGATGAATGAAAAGGATAGACATGGGTTACAGAGATTGATGACAAGGTTGGTTATGGGATACAGAGATGAATGAAAAGGATGGATATGGGATACAGAGATGGATGACAAGGATGGATATGGGATACAGAGATAAATGACAAGGACGGATACGGGATACAGAGATGAATGACAAGGATGGATATGGGATACAGAGATAAATGACAAGGATTGATATGGGATACAGATATGGATGACAAGGATGGTTATGGGATACAGAGATGAATGAAAAGGATAGACATGGGTTACAGAGATGGATGACAAGGTTGGTTATGGGATACAGAGATGAATGAAAAGGATGGATATGGGTTACAGAGATGGATGACAAGGATGGATATGGGATACAGAGATGGAATAACAAGGATGGATATGGGATACAGAGATGAATAACAAGGATGGATATGGGATAAAGAGATGAATGACAAGGATAGATATGGGATACAGAGATGTGACAACGATTTTCAACAAAACAATTGTATCTTTTAATTTGATTTGGTTTTGATATTAGATGCGTTAAAAGAGTTCAAAGTTCCCTCAAGCTGTTTGTAAACTTGTAATGCAGGTATTGAATGAGAGTACTAAAATAAAAACAACAACTACTGAACCTAGTGAACCTACTGGATTCATTGGTTAGGAAACCACTCAAGCAAACAATATTTTTGGCATCGTAGACCTCACTGCCTGAGACTTGTTTCCGCTTGGATATTGTTCATTTTCAAGTTTATTTTAATACTAAACCTAAGTACAGTGAGAACCAGACAACTTTGGAATGAATAAAACGAAAGTTGTGATTTGCTGTTGTTGCAACTGAACTATTCAGGGACTAGTTAAAAAATAATTTTGTTACAAATAACAAAATCTAAAAGTTGACTTCCTATTCCAGAGTTTTCTAGTTACCACTGCATGTATTTATGTAATTATGTACGTATTTATGAATTTGTGCACAGGGTGAGTAAAAAACGGGATTTAAGATGTTTTAAAGGATTTTTTGTCAAATCTCTTTTCAAATATTTATGAATTTTTATGAAATTTTGGAAAACAATTGAATGAACATTTTCAAAGAAATTTTATTTCTTTTTTAAACTTTGTTTTTTTTGGATGTTCTAAAAGTATTTTTGAATCATTTATTGTCACAGCTCAATGTTTTTAAACCTAAACTCAGAAGCAAACAAAATCAAAAATTTGTTGCACAAAACATCGCTAATCACGGATTTTTTTTCACACCCTGTATTTATGAATATGTATCTATTCCTGAATTT